TTTTAAAAATATATGTGTAGATGTATATGTAGAGTATAATTATATAAAATATAATATAATATAATAGTTATATAAAATATTAATAAACTCGTAGGACATCTTTAAAACTATATATAAATATTCTATTCTACATATAATAAGTTTTCAAATAAAAATTTTAAAACCAGAATTTTTAAATTAGATAAATTTTCTTATAAGATAGTACATAAAGATTTTTTTGACTGACGATGTACTTACAGACATCAATTATGCAATATTCTTATCGATATATATATATATTATAATAATTAATTTTGTTAATCGTGTTATATGTTTTTCTTTGTGTCGTTAAAGTCCTCAAAATTAAAATTTATTCGTATCGAATTTATCGCAATAACGGATGAAAAATATAAAAGAGGAGAAAAATAGCGCGTGAGAAGAGAAGGGGAGGAGAGAGATTGGAGAAGAGAGGGTCAGTGACACGTCGTCGAATAGAGGTTTATCAGACGAACGACCGACCCACGTGGTTAGTGTTCTCCGCCCTCTTTTAATATCCTCGATCGCCGTATGACTAGGAACTACTCATGGACAAAAAAATAATACACAATTTAAACATTATTTCTTGTCTGCTCAGTTATACGTTTCCTCTGTATCATTTTTCACCCTTGTTTTTTTCGCATTTTCTCATATTTTTATTTCAATAACATATTTATTACATATATTATATTAAATATATTAAATACTTTTTATTTGAAAAGTTTTACTTTATTTCGTATTATTACTTAATCGCATTATATTATCATATTCTTTTTTATTCTTTTTTTTTCTATTTTATTCATATTTTATTTTTATTCATATTTTATTTTTCATTCTTATAATATCAAATTTTTGTTACATAAAAATACTACTTAATGATAAGAAATTTAATATAATTCATATATATTTGAATTAAATTAATTAATATGTAAATACTATAATGATGATATATATATTTTTGATAAAATCAATTTTACCAATATAAAATGAAAATAAAAAATAAAATTAAGAAGATGAATGAAATTCATTTTAATATAAAAGCAATATTCTATGTGTTTTTCTTCTATTTTAGTAATATAATAATTTTTTGATATATAAATCAATATGAATTTTTAAATATTCATTAAATATTTTTTATTATTCCTAATGAGAAAAAAATAGTAAAATAAATTAAAATTTCAATTCATTTTATTTATCATCCCATATAGATACAATTTTAAAGAATTAAAATCCTTTTTTTTCTAAAAATGTTAAAAATGTTGCAACATCGGAAGGTAATTTCGAAATAATTTAGATATTTCGATAATATTGAAGAATATTTTATTACGATTCTTTTTCCTCCATAAATAACAAAAACATCCTTTTACATTTTAAAAAACGAGATTATAAAAAATTATACGCTTGTACTGTAAATCTCGATTTCAAATCACTACTGATTATAAATTCACCTATAAATCTAAAAAAAAAAAGAAAAAAAGAAAAAAAGGAACACATCCCTTCTTTTACCGTTATACGATAAAAATTCCATCTTTTAAATTCGACATGGCAGATGAAAGATATCGAAACAGAGTTTTTTATCAGCTAAAAATTTCCCCAACTATTTCGAAGTTCCAACTACCTGTTACTCGAGAAAAGGAGAGCGCGGGAGATCAAGGGTGAATGAGAATCTCTGCGGAGGTACAAAGAGAGCATCGAGGCCTCGGATGCACGTGCGTGCAACTAACGCCGACCGGAAGTCGATAAAAAGGCTGCTTCACCCTCGTCACTCGGCAGCAGCTCCTCCTCATGAGAACCAGCCTCTTTCTTCTCTCTTTATCCCTCGTCTCCCTCCTCCACCCGCTTTGTCGCGTTTCTCTTTTTCGCTCCCTCCTTTTTTCTCCTTCTTCGTCTCTTCTCTTATGCCTACTCA